TTGTTTCATAATTTCTAGGCCTGTGCATAGTCCACAGTGGTTCACAAATGAAGTGGCATTTTGGAATAGATTTCATGGTAAAAAGAAGACAGCTCAGATGCCAAGTGTCTTTGGATATTTTTGTCAAGAGAGTTGAAAAGAAGCTGTCAACGTTCTATGCTTATCTCATGAAATGTAACATTAACATGATGGAGACAGATGGGATACTGTTAACTTATGAACAAATAAAAGAGCCCCTTAGAAATTAAATTTTTGGTTTCAAAGAGTTTAATCCACATGTTCTGAGATACTATCATGTGTTTGATTACGTAAGATAATTCTCATTAGTGGACTCTTTATAGTCTCTCCCTTGGAGGTTGCAGTGTCAATTACCTAGAATTACTGTTGACTATAGTAATAAGGAAGGCGTAAACTCTCAATTTATGATCTCTTTGCTGTAATTTCTTTAAAATTACTGTACTGGCCTGGTAATATACATTTACTGAGGTTTTAAAATTCTGTAGATGTGTATTGCCAAGCCAGTACAATTTTATAAATAATCCATTTGTCAGCTATACATACTTTGCAACATTTTCAAAAATACTGTCTTTAAAAACAAGCAGGTTCTCTTTCATGGATAAAAGAACGAAGAGAATAACTTTAATAAATTACCAAATTTCCTAGTTACGTGCTGCTCCCCATAGGACAAATACGTTTTCTATACTCAGGAACTGTACATTAGAACCCAACTGGAATGAGACTCTAACGTGGTAGACTACAGCCAACTAAAAATTATTTGTGTATCAACATATATTTTTCTAAAAGAAAAGAACTTAAAATGAATTGTATTATAAGTTATAGATTTTATAATGTCTGAAATATAGTTTTTTTTTCCCAACTTTGTCAGTAATTGCAAAATTTCAGAAAAAGCCTAAAAATCCCTTAATCACTAACTCTTATAGAGATTTTGTTTTAATAATACAAGAACAGAGTTAAGAAATATTACCTGGATAGCTTCAGGTATAAAAAGTTTTCCTAGAGAAGATACAAAATCCAGCATTGCCAGACGAACATAGTCAGGAGGCTCTAATTTAAGTAGTGAGGTCTGCAAAGTTACTACCTACAGAGGTGAAGACCAAAGAACAGTTATAAAGAATACCAGTATTTTGTACAGACACAGTAACTGCCTAAGATTTGGACGGAAATGTGGGGAGGGGAAACAAAACCAAACCCAGAAAAAAACAAACACACCACAGCCCCTGAACTTCACTGGTAGAATTTAAATAAGACAATCATATGAACAAGTTAACTATTACAGCATTATTCTTACCACACCCTCCTGCCTCAAACCACTGTAAAAATAAAAGTATACATGTTCCTGAAAAACTGTATATATCAAACCTTTAAACAATATTTTGTACAGACACTATTTTATTGTGCTTTGATTTATTGCACTTTGAAGATACTGTATTTTTTTTTTTTTACAAATACAAGGTGTATGGCAACTCTGTACTGAACAAGTCTACCTGTACCATTTTTGCAACAGCATGTGCTCACTTCATGGCTGTCAGATTGGTAATCCTTGCAATATTTCAACTTATTCGTCAGGATTTTATTATGTTGATCTGTGATCTTTGATGTTACTATTGCAATTGTTTTGGGGTGCCACAAACTATGCCCATATAAGATGGCAAATATAATAAATTGTGTGTTGTGACTGTTCTACCAACAGGTAGGTCACCAGTCTCTCCCCTTCTCCTTGGGCTTCCCTATTCTCTGAGACACAATATGAAAATTAAACCTAAAATGGCCTCTTAAGTGTTCAAGTGAAAAGAATAATCTCATCTCTCACTTGAAAGCTAAAGATAATTCAGCCTGGTGAGGAAGGCTGTCAAAAGTCAAGAGAGGTGAAAAGCTAGGCCTCTTTTGCAAGTTAGCCAAGTTGTGAATACAAAAGAAAAATTCTTCAAGGAAATGAAGAATGCTATTCCAGTGAACACAGAAAGTCTTATTGTTGATATGGAAAGTTTTAGTGGTCTGAATAGATCAAACCGGCCACAATATTCCCTTAAGCCAAAGCCAAATCCAAAGCCAGGCCCTAACTCTCTCCAATTCTGTGAAAGCTGAGAGGTGAAAAAGTTGCAGAAGAAATGTTTGATGCTAACAGAGGTTGACTCACGAAGTTTAAGAAGCAATCTCTAACATAAAAGTACAAGGCGAAGCAACAAGTGCTGATGAAGAAGCTGCAGTAAATTCTCCAGAAGATCTGGCTAAGATCACTGATGGAAGTGGTTGCCTTAAACAATATATTTTTAATGTAGAGGAAACACCATTCTATTGGAAGATGTTGTCTAGGACTTTCATAGCTAGAGAGATGAAGTCAATGCCTGGCTTCAAGATTCTTCTTGAGGGGTAATGCAGCTGGCAAAGTTGAAGCCAATGTTCACTTGCTATTAAAAAAAATCCTAAGGCCCTTAAGAATTCTGCTAAATCTACTCTGCATGTACTCTATCAATGGAACAACAAAGCCAGGATGATAGCATACCTGTTTATATCACTGTTTACGGAATATTTTTTGTATCTCTACTGCTCAGAAAAGATTTCTTTCAAAATATTACTGCTCATTGACAATGCACCTGCTCACCCAGGAGCTCTGAAAGAGATATACAAGGAGATGATTGTTTTCATGTTTGTTAATACAACAATCATTCTGCAGCCCATGAATCAAGGAATTGTGACTTTCAAGTCTTACTATTTAAGAAATACATTTTATAAGGCTATAGCTGCCATGGATAGTGATTCCTCGATAAACCAGGACAAAGTAAACTGAAAACCTTCTGGGAAGGAGTCATCATTCCAGATGCCGTGAATAATATTCATGATTCATTTGTAGGAGGTCAAAATATCAACATTAACAGGAGTTAGAAGTTGGTTCCAACCCTCAAGGATGACTTTGAGGGGTTCAGGCCTACAGTGGAGGAAGTAACTGCAGATGTGGTAGAAATAGCTAGCAAACTAGAAGTGGATCCTGAAGATGTGACTGAATTGCTGCAATCTCATGATCAAACTTGAGTGGATGAGGAGTTGCTTCTCATGAATGAGCAAAGAAAGTGGTTTCTTGACACAGAACTACTCCTGGTATAGAAGATGCTGTGAACATTGTTGAAATGAAAACAAAGAATTTAGAGTATTACATAAACTGAGTTGTTAAAGCAGTAGCAGGATTTGAGAAGACTGACTCTATTTTTGAAAGAAGTTTTCCTGTGGGTAGAATACCATCAAATAGCATCACATGCTACAGAGAAATCTTTCATGAAGGGAAGAGTCAATTGATGTGGCAGACTTCACTGTCATATTTTAGGAAATTGCCATGGCCACCCCAACCTTCAGCAACCACCATCCTGATGGGTTAGCAGCCATCAACACTGAAGCAAGACCCTCCACCACCAAAAAGATTATGCTTTGCTGAAGGCTCATATGATCATTAGCATTTTTAGCAAGAAAGTGTTTTTAAATTATATACATTTTTTACACATAATGCTGTTGTACACTTAACCTACAGTATAGTGTAAACGTAACTTCTGTATGCACTGAGAAGCCAAAAAATTCATGTGACTCACTCTATTGTGGTGGTCTGGAACACAACCTGTAATCTCTCTGTGGTATGCCTGTATTTAAAATTCTATTGAGAGAAGTTCATTATTTAGTAAGGACTGGCAAGCTTTTTCTCTAACAGGCCAAATAGTAAATATTTTAGGCTTTGTAGGCAACATGTTCTCTGTTACATATTATTTTTTAATTTGCAAACCTTTAAAAATCATGCCTACCTCTTGGGCTGAAAACAGGAGGGCAAAATTTAGACAGGAGGTCATAATTTGCAAACCTCTAATTTAAGGGAATCTTAAGGTGAAATCTTTTATAAAGGAAGCAATACCTTTTGAACAATCTACTTAATTAAAAATTTTAGAATTTTGTTTGGGTTTTTTAAAGGTAGGCACATTATATCAAAATTATTTTTTCTAAAAGAATATTAGAGGTTTCAGAATCAATCAAATTGTTGCATTCACTGAGTTAATTATTGTATTGATTCTTTATAAATTAGTAAAATCCATGTTATACATATGGTATAGTACATGTTATTGCTAACATATACACATCATTAAAAACAGCTACTAAAAGCAAAGCTGTAAGTTTCATTCCTTTCTGTTCTACCACATACTGTGACAGGAATCATCTCTTCCATCATCTTCATAAATAAGAAGGGTAGTTTCTCCTCTTAACAGTTATTGTTTCTCTTTCTTACCTGACCCTGAGCTTAAGCTAACTCTTAATTTGGGGCATCAATTCTCTCTAGTATGGACTCTTTCCAAAGCCTCTAAATCACTTCAGTTTAGCTGAAGGGCTTTCCCATTTTCTCTGTCATCTTAGAACCTCCAAAAGAAAGGCGCAGCTGAGGCACCACGACAAGGGTTGCCTAGACAGTGACCCAGGCTCTGCCTGTCCTAGCCATGTAAGCTGGAGGCCAAAGAGGAAATTCAGGAGGCCAAAGAGGAAATTCAGTAGTGCTCTTCTTTCAAAATAATTGTATTTCTTCAAAGAAACAATGGGTGCTATCTTTTAATCCATATTGGTTAACTGATTCATCGTTCCCACAGCTGCTGAAATGCCTTTGAAACTGCTATGAATGCAGGGTTCAACACATGAACTACGACTCCTAACCTCAGGGGTTTGTGGGGGGTAGTTAACAGTAATAACAAAAAGTAGTGACTGCTCAGTATAGGGTGACAAAGAAGAACAGATAAAGGCTGAATTAACAGCGCCGTATATTAATAATACTGTAAGGAAGAAAGAAGAGAAATGAGATATCCTTGATGAAGACAAGTCAATATATGACACAACAGGAGGTTTAAAATAACTATTTCTAGAAAGCTATTTTACATGATAGCAATTTAGCAACCTCCTTAGCGAACAAAGTATCAATTTGGTCATTATTCTTACCTGAACTATCAGTTTAGGATCTAGAGTTTGAATGAAAAATCCCAACAGTGGAAGTAAAAGGCTGAATGTCTGCTGAATGTAAGGTTGATCTGCTACCTAAGAAACACAAAATAATTTTGAAGAAAAAGTTTCAATCACGTAAGAATTACTATAATAGCAAACTTTTATTGAGCACTTATTATATATCAGGTAATATGTTAAGCATTTTATATTACCTCATTTATGCCTTACAACAGCTCTGTGAGGTAGATATTATTACCTTTACTGATAAGAAAACAGGGTCAAAGAGGTTAAACAATTTGTTCAAGATCACGTGGCTATGATAAAAAGCAGAGCTGTGATTGAAATCCAAATTTAAGTCTAAAAGGGATCTAATTACTTGTCTGTGACTGAAAGGCTTATATGTTCCTTAGTCATCTTAAAATTTCATTTCTCTTCTTCATAATTTTGGTTTACATTATAATATTGTAAGCTATATCCCCATCACAGATATCCTGAATGAATACTGAATGATTTGTGAACATCCGGGAAAGTACTTGTTGAAGTCAAAACAATGCAGTAGGGTAATCTGACCATAAAAAAAAATAATAATAAAACATTATCTGTAAAATCATTTCTATCATTTCCCAAAAGCATGGCTGTTGCCTTTAGCTTCCACTAGCTGCCAGAGGCCAGTGTTATACTTAGTCAAAGAAAACAAACAGCCTATTTATATTTTTAAACTAAGAAACAGGTGTACAACCATGGTGTGGGAGGCATATCATTAGTTTTAGATCATCACTTGGCTTCTTGGCTTTGCTGGGAAAGAGAAATAGAAATTAGCCACATCTATTCACTAGCCCTTTCCACCTTTAAGTCAGCTCACTCTCCACTGCCCAAAAGATTTATTAAAGGTCCTAGAATCACAGAAATGGGATACATTAACCCAAAACAGAACAGAAACAATAGGGGAAGAGATAAGGGGCGGGGGGGGGGGGAGAGGGTATAACCAGTTAGAAAAGTAAGTAGGTGGACTGCCATCACATCACATATTCTAATTTTACTAATATAATGCTATCACACTCTGAAAATGACAGCGGCCTGAGACAGTACAGATACTTTAAGTTCTTATAAAGGTCTACCAAACACCCAAAAGAATTAGTTTTTACTCTACACTGGAAAATTTCAGTACTATCCTCTTTTTTTGATATTTTCTGTTTTTTGATAAAGAAAGGATCAGTTGTTTTCCTTACCTGTTTAATGTTTAAAAAAGCCCAAAGCTGACTCACAACTTCCATAATTGCAGTTTGTTTTCCTGTATCCAAAGCTTCACCAGCAGAATTACATATTGTAAGCAGAGCAGACAGTACTGTGTTCTAAAGGGCAGAAACAAGAAAGGACTTGAGTTTAAATACCAGTCTAAAGCACCACCAAGAGCCCACTTACCTAGAGATTATAAAAGTTACTTTTAACTCTTCATAAAAGTCCATGTAGAATAATATTTCTAAGAGCCAAAGCCATCTTTTCAGCTATTTACTTAACATAAGTATATATTATATTTGCTTTGTTTTTCTAAATAAACTTTTTTTTTTGAGACGGCATCTCGCTCTGTCACCAGGCTGGAATGCGGTGGTGCAATCTCGGCTCACTGCAACCTCCAACTCCCAGGTTCAAGCAATTCTCCTGCCTCAATTTCCCGAGAAGCTGGGACTACAAGCATGCACCACCACACCCAGCTAATTTTTGTATTTTTAGTAGAGACTTGCTTTTCATCATGTTGGCCAGGATGGTCTCGATCTCTTGACCTTGTGATCCGCCTACCTCGGCCTCCCAAAGTGCTAGGATTACAGGTGTGAGCCACCGCACCCAGCCATAAACTTCCTTTTAGGGTGAAATGTTGGAACCCAAGGTTACCAAATGAAAGCAGAAATGTACTTTAATAAATAGCTTTGATACAAGTGGTCAGTATAATCAAGCTACTTTATAATACACATCAACAAAAAGTTATTTTTTCACATTACGCACCCAGCAATCTTTATGGTTTACTAGATTTTTATTTTTCCTGTTGTCTGAAAATTTTAAATGCCTCAGCAACACTGCATTTAATAAGCAAAGACAGTACTTAAGAAGTACTAGTATTTGAAACTAAAGGCAATCTTTTCTGGATTAACTCTTACCTATGTACGAAAATACTCCATTCTCTCTCTGACTAGCCAGGAATGAGGTTTTTTGAGGTGTGGTGGGGGTACAGGGAAGGTCTTATGAGAATGTAATAATCAGTAACAATGAATGCCTTTAATCTATTATACTTAGACAACCACACTTAATTTTATGAAATTACCATACAACTTCTTAAGATTTACCTATTTCCTTTTACAAATGAACATGTTCTAGATGCAGAAATCCTCAAAACAATACTAGCAAACCAAATTCAACAGCACATCAAAAACTTAATTCACCATGATCAAGTACACTCCATTCCTGGGATGCAAGATTGGTTCAACATATGTAAATCAATAGGTGTGATTCGCCACATAAGCAGAATTAAAGACAAAAACCATATTGATTATCTCAATAGACATGGAAAAGCTGTTAGTAAAATCCAACATCCCTTCATAATAAAGGCCGTCAAGACACTAGGCATCAAAAGAACATACATCAAAATAATAAGAGCCATCTATGACAAACTCACAGCCAACATTATACTGAACAGCCAAAAACTGGAGGCATTCCTCTTCAGAAATGGAACAAGACAAGGATGCCCACTCTTAATCACTCCTATTCAATATAGTATTGAAAGTTCAAGCCAGAGCAATAAGGCAAGAGAAAAAAATAAAAGCAGCATACAAATAGGAAAAGAAGAAGTCAAACTGTTTCAGGATACAAAATCAATGTACAAAAATCAATACCATTTCTATACACCAATAACATTCAAGCTGAGTGGCAAATCAAGAAGACAAGGCTGGGTGTGGTGGCTCACGCCTGTAATCCCAGCACTTTGGGAGGCCAAGGCGGGCGGATCACGAGGTCAGGAGATCAAGACCATCCTGACTAACATGGTGAGACCCCGTCTCTACTAAAAATACAAAAAATTAGCCGGGTGTGTTGGCGGGTGTCTGTAGTCCCAGCTACTTGGGAGGCTAAGGCAGGAGACTGGCGTGAACCCGGGAGGCGGAGCTTGCAGTGAGCTGAGATAGCGCCACTGCACTCCAGCCTGGGCGACAGAGACTCCGTCTGAATAACAACAACAACAAAACACAATCCTGTTTACAGTAGACACATGCACACCCCTAGGAATACATTTAACCAAGGAGGTGAAAGATCTCTTCAAGGAAACTATAAAATTGCTAAAAGAAATCATAGATGACACAAACAAATGGAAAAACAGTCTGTGCTCATGGATTGGAAGAGTCAATATCATTAAAATGGCCATACTACCCAAAGCAATCTACAGATTCAATGCTTTTCCTACCAAACTACTGACACCATTTTTCACAGAATTAGAAGAAACTATTCTAAAATTCATATGGAATCAAAAAAGAGCCTGAATAGCCAAAGTAATGATAAGCAAAATGAAGAAGGCCAGAGGCATCTGAAACTATAAGACTACAGTAACCAAAACAGCATGATACTGGTATAAAAACAGAAATAGATCAATGAACACGATAGAGAACCTGCAAATAAAGCCACATACCTACAACCACGTGATCAATGAAAAAGTCAACAAAAACAAGTAATGGGGAAAGGATTCCTATCCAATAAATGGTGCTGGGCCAGCTAGCTAGCCTATATGCAGAATGAAACTGGATAGCTACCTTTCAGCATATACAAAAATTAACTCAAGATGGATTAAAGATTTAAATGTAAGACCTCAAACTATAAGAATCCTAGAAAAAAACCTAGGAAACACCATTCTAGACCTCAGCCTTGAGAAAGACACCAGTAGCAATTGCAATAAAAGCAAAAATTGACAAGCAGGACCTAATTAAAGAGCTTCTGCAGAGCAAAAGAAACTATCAACAAAGTAAACAGACAACCAATAAAATGGGAGAAAATACTTGCAAACTATGCATGTGACAAAGGTCTACTATCCAGAATCTATAAGGAACTTAAAACAACTGAACAAGTAAAAAACGACCCCATTAGAAAATGGGCAAAAGACATGAACAGACGTTTCTCAAAACAAGACACACAAGAGGCCAACGAACATATAAAAAAACTATCAGGGAAATGCAAATCAAAATCACAATGAGATACTATCTCACACCAGTCACAATGGCCATTTAAAAAGTCAAACAACAGACATTGGTGAGGCTATAGAGAAAGTAAATGCTTATATACTGTTGGTAGGAATGTATATTATTTCAGCCACTGTGGAAAGCAGTTTGGCAATTTCTCAAAGCACTCAGAACTACCATTCTACCCCGCAATCTCATTACTGGGTACATATCCAAAAGAAAACAAATTGTTCTACCAAAAAGACACATGTACTCACGTGTTCATTGCAGCACTACTCACAACAGCAGACACTGAATCAACCTAGATGTCCATCAACAGATTAAAGATAATGTAGTACATATATACCATGGAATAGTATACAGTCATAAAAAAGAATGAAATCATGTCCTTTGCAGCAACATAGAGCAGCTAGACACCATTATCCTAAGCAAATTAATACAGGAATGGAAAACCAAATACCACATGTTCTCACTTATAAGTAAGAGCTAAACACTGGGCACTCATGGACATAAAGATGGCAACAATAAACACTGGGACTACTAGTAGGGGGAGGGAGGAGAGAAGATAAGGACTGATAAACTGTTGGGTACTATGCTGAATACCTGGGTGATGAAATCATTGATACCCCAAACCTCAGCATCACACAATAAAACCAGGTAACAAACCTGCACAAGTATCCCCTAAATCTAAAATAAAAGTTGAGGCTGGGTATGGTGGCTCACTCCTGTAATCCCAGCACTTTGGGAGACTGAGGCGGACAGATCACCTGAGGTTAGGAGTTCGAGACCAGCCTAGTCAACATGGCTAAACCCTGTCTCCACTAAAAATACAAAAATTAGCCAGGCATGGTGGTGGGTGCCTGTAATCCCAGCTACTTGGGAGGCTGAGGCAGGATAATCGCTTAAGCCCAGGAGGCAGAGGTTGCGGTGAGCCGAGATCATGCCACTGCACTCCAGCCTGGGCAACAGAGCAAGACTCCATCCCAAAAAATAAAATAAAAAATAAAAGTTGAAAAAAAATTTAAAAAGACATATGTTGAACAACCTGCTGGACTAAAAAGCTGTGGTCATACTTCAAAAGTTTACTTATAGTGCTTTTACTTTACCTAATATAAAACAAAACATCTTTTGTCCTTACTATAGAAATTGGTACACATTAAATGCAAAACTCAGACACATTTAACCTGTTAACAAGGTATTTAACAGTTTTTCTAAAATAAAGTCACATAAAAACATTTCCTTTGGATAAGCCTGGGCACTGTGGCTCACACCTGTAATCCCGGCACTTTGGGAGGCCAAGGCGGGTGGATCACCTGATGTCAGGAGTTCGTAACCAACCTGGCCAACATGGCGAAACTCCGTCTCTACTAAAAATACAAAAAATTAGCTGGGCATGGTGGTGGGAGCCAATCCCTGCTACTCAGGAGGCTGAGGCAGGAGAATTGCTTAAATCTGGGAAGCGGAGATTGCAGTGAGCCAAGATTACGCCATTGCACTTCAGCCTGGGCCATGAGAACAAAACCTCGTCGCCCCACAAAAAATTATAATAATTATAATCAAGTGTCATTACATATAACAGTATCAGAACATTTGTACTCAGCATGGAGACATATGCCCTCAGAAAACCCTGAACTCCTAAGTTAGAATTGCAAATAGACCTCTGTCCCTTTGAATGCCCTATCCTTATCCTTGCTTTTCTCTACTTAATGTAAATTGGCATTTCTTATTTTACTGTCCGCTGCTAAGCTCAAATGTGAGTCTATGAGAGTAGAAATTTTTGGTTCCCGATGTACTTCCAATGCCTAGAACAAAGTGGCACATAAAAGTACTCCAAATATATTTGTTGAATGAATGAATGAGCGTATGAACACTAAACTGGAAAATTCAATTTCATGTACTAAATCCAGTCAACTTTTTAAAAGCTCGCATTTCCTACTTCTTCTAGTGGATGAGTCTCTTTTTATTATTCCATTATTTTATGAGGGAACATTCTATGTAAAAGGTACATAAAGGTTCAGAGTAAGTTCACATAAAATGGGGGTTGTATTTTGTCAAATGGAAGAATTACATCTGCCTAATCCAGAGATGCATCAGCAAAAATACACAACTGAAGTGTTCCATAGTGTGTTTGATCATGTCTCAACATGTCTTAAGCAACATAGGAAACAACCCCCCAATATAATACATCAATTAAAATAACAGTATGTTTCTCACAGATTCTTTTACGATGTAGAAATCTGAAAATCTTACTAGGTTCTAAAAGAAACAGAGTACAGAGCCTCTGTGCTTGTTATTAACAACCTATCCCCGTTACCTAAAACAATGCTCAATAAATAGCTGCTGAATGAATAAAATTAATCAAAATTATTATCTTACCAGAGATTCTAGTTCTCCTAAAGTACGACTGCTGCTCAGCCATTTCCTGCATTCTGCTGTGCCTACCGTGGAGACCTCATGGACAGTTTGTTTCCTAAGCTCAGCAGGTAACGCCTGGAAGGAAATATGCTGCCAGAGAGGCAGATTTTCTGCTTCTTTTGGGGAAAATTTATGGATAAACTCCAGCTGAAATAAATTGTTAAAGAAAGAAGAGTAATATGAGACAAGTCAGAGGAATGGATACACAAAAGCTAAGTATTTGTTTCCACATTTAATATTTCAAGAAAGCTTTTTAATAGTACCGTAATATCTATGTTCCAGACCAAGGTAACATAAATGAACATACCTTATTATTATTGTTGTTGACACTGCACTGGTTTCCAAAACAAAAACACAGCTTAAGTGGAGCACGATATAAATGCACTAAGCCATTAAATAATGTATTTCATTATTAGTTATGTCAGATATCTTATCATGCTCCTACTTACCAATAAGTCTTATTTTTCTGTATACTCCTCACCTTGTAGTTAAGTCAAAAGTAACATTCCAAATATACAAACTGGATTTAGTCAACCTTCATAGCTTACTATTATCTCACTTGATTCATAGCAGAGAACTTAAAGAAGCAAAGATTCAGCTTTAAACTGAGTTACCTGGTTCTGCCCTACTTTAGACAACATACTAAATCAGTTTCACAAAGGTAAGCCACAAATCAAAAAGAATGTGGTTGGCAAATCCATTCCACCACTGAAATAACAATTCAAAGTGCTTACTAGGTTAACAGAAAAGTACTGTTTTGTTAAAATGCAGATGTTACAGACTAGATACAAATGGAAAACAAGAGTTCTAAGAAACAGTTTAAATGCTGAATCAGTTTTTGGTGGAAAAATGGTAAAACCAATGGTGCATTTAATGATTAAAATAAGTATAATCCGACTAGGAAGTATATTAGTGTATTTTCTAAGAAGTAGAATAATTCAATTTAAAATATTCAAAATCTATTTGACGAAAACTTTTCCTACACCAAAAACTAAAAACCCACCAAAAAAAATTAAATCTGACAGAGAAACTTTTCCGTCATATACTATATTTGTATTTCAATTTTACTTCTTTTGTGGAAAATATTTACCTGTCAATACAAGCTAGAAATTATGTGGCTATCTGCTGTGACAGAGGCTACAGCCAGAAAAACAGATCCCTTGATGAGCGAGTGTCTATTATAAAAAGCAGTTTTATTCATAAAAGCAAACTACATCAGGAAAGCCAAGAGAACTGTGCCAACTGGTAAACATCAGTTCAAGTATCACCTTTCTTTATAATAAAGTCCAGTAAGTGAGTGAACTACTTCCCTTTCCAAAATGAAAAGTAAAAATATAATGTCCTGGACGACATAAAAGGGTAGGTATTGCCAAAATTTGTTACAGAAAGAGTTCAAGATTCTATTCTGAGGTTGAAAACCCTGGTTTCAACACAATTCTAAAGACTTAAAACTGCTATGACAAAATAGTTCATAAAAGACTAAAGTATAAGGGAATAATACACAGAGAATTATGATTTCCCTTCTTAAAACTGGAAAGAGAAAAAATACACTTTTGGGTTTAAAATGTAAATGCAGTAATTTTTACTTTACATTAAAAAGACAGTACAAACTATCAGTGTGCTTAGATAAGGCATATTAAATACTTTTCCCTCAAGTAGGTAACCTCCTTGTATTTTTGCTTTTCTTGATAAAATGGAATACTATTAATAGTTACATACTAAAAGAAATAATGTGATATTCAATAATTACCCCTCATATTAAAACAGTAAATGCATTCTAACATCTATTTCTATCGGCATTTTCTTCTAAATTAGCATCATAGACACTTTTGTTTTTTAAAGTATATTATCACCATACTGGGATTAACTATTTTCATTTATGTTAAGGCTACATCACTAGTAAAAAAAATTTGGGTTCTTATTTTACTATTTAAAAAGACAACATCTTGTATGCAAATAGCTGAATAATTATTTCAAGTTTCACTGCTCGCTTCTCCTTTTTTCTCTAATATGCTTTATTGCCTTTGCTTCTCTAGTCCCACCACCTTCCACATTCATCCTGTAACACGTACCTCAAATGCCATCAACTCCAACTCCTATGTCTACCTGTTCCCATGCTGCACCTCTTCAGAAATGACTGTCTCAGCTACGAACACCCAACAACATTTGATTTGTGCCTCAGTTTTGGCATTCATCACAAACCACTCTTTAATATGAGTATCTTTATAAATTTATAGTTTATACTAGATTTTATGTTCCTTGAGATATCATGAGATAGTGCAGTGGTTTCCAAGCTGTAAAGAGAGTCCTGCTATGTTGTCCAGGCTGGACTTGAACTTTGGACTAAATAAAACGATCCTCTGATCCTCCTGCCTCAACATCCCAGATCAGCTGTTAGGTGTGAATTTGTGGAAGTTATTTAATTTCCTTGAGCTACTGTTTCTTCATCTGTCAAATGGACACAATATTATCTATCCCACAATATTATCTATCCTTGTAATCCTTACAAGGCTGCTGTAAGGATTAAATGAATTAAGTGCCTGGCCTGGTACAGTCTCAAAAATATTATTTCCCGTCCTCCTTCCTTTAAGAGAAAGGATAATGTCTTAAGGGGTTAAAAAAAAAAAAAAAAGAGCCAAACAGGAGAGGAGACCTAACATTTGTTAAATGGTCTTTTCATGCCATATGTATATTCTCTATCTTATCAAGTTTCTTAACTGCCATATGAGTATTAGTATCTATCTCAATTTTATAATTAACTCTCCTAAAGACTCTCAGAATAGGTATTCAGATTCAGGTTTCTTAAGTTTTATCACAATAACTTGTACATAAAGAAAATCTGCATTCGATAACTGAAGATACAAATTAAAAGTAACCGTTCATTTACCTATAATTTATATATCTGATAGCCTCATTTGGAAAAATTTAGAAAATTGAGAGTAAGAGATCTCCAGGCATAGACTATAATTTATCTAATTTAGAACACTGCTTCTAGACCTCATAGCTAATTCATTCTGAGTTATATTATTTTAAAAGTTAAAATTTTCACAACCACTTTGGGAAAATAGTTTTATTCCTGTTGTATAAATAAGAAAATTGAGGTTAAAAGGAAAGTGACGGCTGAGCTCAATGGCTCACACCTCTAATCCCAGCACTTTGGGACGCCAAGGCAGGAGGATCGTTTGAGTTCAAGTCTGAGACCAGCCTGGGCAACATAACCCTGTGTCTAAAAAAAAAGGAAAGGGATTTTCTTAAAGTCTTATGACATGTGACCCTTTCCCTCCCAGTCCCACTTCTAAGAGATCTGGAGTAGAAAATTCTTTTTGAAGCAAGCAAGCTTCCCATGCTCTTAGAGGGCTAATAGGTGGGGCTATCTTTAAGAAAAAGAAGGCTAGGCCGGGCGCGGTGGCTCAAGTCTGTAATCCCAGCACTTTGGGAGGCCGAGACGGGCGGATCACAAGGTCAGGAAATCGAGACCATCCTGGCTAACCCGGTGAAACCCCGTATCTACTAAAAAATACAAAAAACTAGCCGGGCGAGGTGGCGGGCGCCTGTAGTCCCAGCTACTCGGGAGGCTGAGGCAGGAGAATGGCTTAAACCCGGGAGGCGGAGCTTGCAGTGAGCTGAGATCCGGCCACTGCACTCCAGCCTGGGCGACAGAGCAAGACTCCATCTCAAAAAAAAAAAAAAAAAGAAAAAGAAGGCTAATAGGTAGTTGTAGTACCTCTGGTTCCTGACCAACCACTCTAGGGCAGGAACAGACTTGGACTTGGGGCAAAAACCCTAGTCAGAAATAACTCCTAGCATTTACTGAGCACCCTCTTAAACCTAGCACTATGCTGTTTTCCATGTATTAGTTCCAAGTCTTTACAAACTTTTTCAAAGCAGTTATACATATGTTCTGTTTTGCAGACAAGGAAAATGAAGTTCAGAAAGGATGACTTGCCCAAGGTCACGGTATGCCAGGATTCAAAGCAAGGACCACAGGACCTTAAATTCTAATCCCCTTCACTAATCTAGTGGTTCCCAAGCTTAGATCCAAGTCTGACTCACATAGGAACTTAATGATAGTACCAACAAAAACCAATTATTGAGCCTTACTTCATACCCATGCCTCCATACCCACCCATCCACAGATTAGAGTCCAGGAACTTATATTTTTAAAAGAGCTCATACAAGAGTTCCTATGTGACCAGTCTGAGGGACTGCACTAGGCCATACAGGTTTATATAAGTAAAGACCATTAAGAACAAAAATAATATTCTAGCTCTTCAAAATAAAAGGGGCAGGGGATATGGAAACATTTCATTTCATGTATCTCAAATATATATGAAAAATAAGGGGAAAGATCTATTTCAGGAAGATGGAATTAGAATAATTATTATAACTTGAAGCAAGGACATCAAAATCTATACCCAGCTGAAAGCAATAAACAAAGCAATCAACATGTCAAAAATTTATACTTAGATCACACCAATATTTAAATTTAAAATAAATGGAGGCAAGGCTAGGCAGAGTGGCTCACACCTGCAATCTCAGAACTTTGGAAGGCAGAGATGGATCACTTGAGCCCAGGAGTTTGAGACCAGCCTAGGTAACATAGTGAGACCTAGTCTCTACAAATAATTTTTTTAAAAATTAGCCAGGCGTAGTGGTGTGTGCCTGTAGTCCCAGCTACTCAGGAGGCTGAGGTGGGAGGATTGCTTGAGCCCGGGAAGTTGAAGCTGCAGTGAGCTATGGTTGAGCCACCGTACAACCAGCCTGGGTGACAGAGCGAGACCCTGTCTCAAAAAACATAATAAAATAAAATTTTTAAAACGGAAAAAAAAAAGGCTATCAAAGGAGTCTGAATCCAACTCTGAGCAGGTTCATAGACAGTGACAAAAATGATATCCTTCCTTGCCTGATGGGGTGGGGCCATGAAGAAAAAGAGACGCTTCAACAGTATTGATAGGTTGATGAGTTGATAACATTCTCCAGGGCATGATTTTATCTGGAAAAAGACATGAGAAAGAGAGGAGAGATTGACTAATTTAGAATCAGAATTTTTATAAGAAGAGAATATGCCAAAATATTAATAGCAGCTCTTTCTAGGGGAAAAGATTGTAGTAATATTGACTTTTAATTTGGGGCTTTTCTTTTTTACCTTCAATGAATCTAAATTTAGAATGAGATTGAAATTTTGACATTATATTTAAAAATAACACTGTAATTTCTATTTCTAATTATCATTTTGATAACTTGGTATGTCAGTCCAAAGACAATTCATGGAACTTTTTAAGATCTAACTACAATAATAGAGAGGTAGATAAAACTCTACAAGACAGAAGCTCATTAAAAGACATTATAGGGGCTGAGTGTGGTGGTTCACAACTGTAATCCCAGCACTTTGGGAGGCCAAGGTGGGAGGACTGCTTGAGCCCAGGAGTTTGAGACTAGCCTGGACAACACAGCAAGAACCCCATATCCACAGAAAGTTTTAAAATTGAGCTGGGTATAGTGGTGCATGCCTGTAGTCCCAGCTACTCAGGAGGGTGAGGGAGGAGGACCATTTGCACCCAGAAGTTTGAGGCTGTAGTGAACTATGATTGCACACCACTGCATTCTAGCCTGGGTGACAGAATGAGACCCTGTCTCTAAGAAAAAAACCACCACTAACAAAAAAATGTTATAAACTCAATTTTATCAATTCCTATCACAATATACTATCATTCCATCCTGGAATCAATTTCTATCATAATGAACTAGAAGAAATCCATTCCTACACCATAATGCACTGAGAAGCTTTTATTTAAAGGAAACCTGAGACATAAAACACATAACATAAAAATCACTCTTTATCTGCTTTGTGAAAGATATGTTAAGGATTTAGTAAAGTGGGTAAGTGATAATCCAGACCATCAGCCATGGAGACATAGATGTCAGCTGTTCATGATATTACACACCTCACTGTCTGATCTACAAAATCCTTTAAAGGTAAACCAAGAAATGTAAGATACAATAAGACTATTAGAAAGCAAAAGATGTATGGCCTACATAAGATCTTAAAGGCCAGGGACAAAAATACATAACAAATAGGTCATAATCATCTTATATGGAACACATAAAACACTTCAGAATTTAAAAGCAAAAAATGTTAATGTTAAAAAGATGAAATCATTATTAAATCATTTTCTCTATGTACCCATTCATAAAACATGACTTCTTTTGCCAAAAACATCTATCACTGTCAAATTCAAGTTCCTCTCAAATCATCTTGACTTAAAAAAAAAAAATACAACAAAATCAAGGGTCAGCTTGTCCAAGGCATGTTAGAGAGACAGAGGAGAGAGACCTCTTGGCCATCAATTATAAATCGCTCTTATTTTCTACTTTGTATTCAATTTTAAATGTAATCTCAACCTAGTCTTTCCTTCCCAGAACAATTACTGAAATTACATAAAATCCTGAATATGAGAAAACATCCCCAGTTTCACACTAACAGTTTTTCAGTACATCCTTCTTAAAAGCATCAGCATTAATACAGGACAAAGACTGTCAAAACAATCTTGCTACTATGATATTTCTCCCGCTGATATTCACATTCTTAAAGATTATCATATCCCCAAAGGAACTGCATAGAGAGTGGGTATTCTAGGCCTTGTAATTGTACGCACCAGATGAGCCACTATGGTGACATGGTGTGCACAGAGTTCAGCAGTCCCATATCTGCAATATAAAGAGAAGGCAACTGGGTTTATACAGTTACTCAGAAACACAAGGAGATGAACTTGCATAAAGCACTAAATATTCTGATGAGGACATTAAAAACTGCCATTACTTCCATGACCAAATAGTATCACAATATACAAAATTCCCTAAACAGTACTCATCTATTGGCTTGAACCAAAGAAAGAAGAGAACTTGTTTCCTAATTTAATGCTGTAATATGAAATCAAAGCATTTTGGGAATTATTATTAAAGGATTATTGAAACATAGTTTTTCTATAAACTTACAATTATAAAATTATTTACTGTCAGTCACTACTAATAACCAATCCAAAGAAAAAGCAAATATGTTGTACCGAGCAAGGAAGCACCATGCATCCATAGCTAACAAAGAGGTGATCATATTAGCACTAAGTACAGCATTCAGCAGAGCAGCATCCTAATCAAAAACAGAAAAATTTATTTAAATACTAAAATTCACAATAATAGTATTATATTTCTCAAAATAAAACAAGAAAGCACTATCAGAATCCAAAGAACAGATCCTCAATGGGAAAGTTCTACTTTCTAGTATCTAAAAGGACACTGTCATTCTCTCAATATTTATTGAGCACCTACTATACATTAAGTACCGTGCTATGCTATGGAGAGTTCAACATGGTTTTAAATGTGGTAACTCAATCACGAGGATCCACAAAGATTCTCTAAGTAGCCTGAAATATTCAAAACAACATATATAACATATATGCTTATACTCTTCTTTCTGCTTTTATTCACATACAATATTTAATAGGTCCTAGATATTATGTAATATCTGAAATGCTACTGATCCTTAAATTTCAGATATTACAAGTATCAAATTCCTAGAACTTCTTAACCTCTTTTCGAATCAAATTCTATTTTTTGAAAATCTACATTATATCTGAGATCTAAAAGAGCCCTGGTATTACAAGCTATTAATTTTTCTTTTGACTTAAGTACCACATATTTTTTCCTCTTCTCACACTGTCTTTGCCTACCTCCCCACCCAAAATGTTTTCTCAAATATTTTAGCCAAATATTAGATCTATACAATATAGGAACCTAGGATTACCATTTTCTAGGATACAACTAAGTTTCATTCAAAATGAATACACGTAAAGTATTCCCACACTTTCTTCTGTATATGAATCACAATTTCAGTGAAGAGAAAGCAAAAGTCTAACCTTAGCTTAGCACAGTAATATGCTTACCAGTTCAGCAAATAGTGAGGGATGAAAAGAAGTAATAAATGTACACAGATGAACACAAACATGCTGATACAATGTGACAGCCACCTCAGCTTTCCCCTTACTCTTTAATCCCTGTAAATGAACAGGTAGAGAGAGTTCACCAGAACACTGCTCAAAACTGTAGAAAATGGCTTTGAGTAGAGATATCCTGCAGAGAAATTGAGAACATTGAACCCACCGTTAATAACATTTACTAATTAGCAAGTATAATTAATACGTAACATGGAAGGTTGTTTAAGCAAAGAAAAATTTCAAAAGGTATACTCAGCAAGTTTCCAACATGTGTGAATATGCACACATAAAAGGAAAATACAGTGTCAAAGAAAATTTTTAATCAGATATTTATGTTAATAGTTATTGTGTAGACCTCATGTGTGTCAAAAAACATTTTTTAATCAGATATTAATGTTAATAGTTATTGTGTAGACAATATATATTGCTACTTTATAACAGTAGATAGATATAAAATATATAAGCCTATATTAGATGCTAAAAATATTTTAATATTTTAATTTTGTTCACTATTGCTTAATGGTCAGCATTATAAACATTGATTGTAATAGAGTAGCTGTAAGTAGAAGCATGTAAAAATGAGCTCTGATAAATAGAACACTAGACTATAGGTATATATATAAGGTATATCCTGGCAAATTTTACCTTTAATCATCTTCCTTGCCAACACCATAGTCCACGCTCTAGTTTCTTTCTTCCCGGATTACTCTGTGCTCTAATTTTTCACCTCTTCCTTTATCCCATTCTGTGTACCATGATGAGGTTAGTCTCCCTAAACCTGGCTCTGAGCTTCTATTCTGCTCAAAAACTGAAGCATAATGTTAGAACTTCTCAGCTTTGGAATAAAAGCCTGTCCCATACTGTTGCCATCTTCTATTTTTGCTCCTCATTCTTGTATTCATTTTCAACAAATATTCCTTGTTTCTGTTACACTCCTTATTTATGTCTTCCTTTTATTCATGCTTTTGTCTTCTTTACACTTACAATTTGACAGTTTTGTTGTTTTGTTTGGAGCAGGGTCTTGCTCTGTCACCCAGGCTGGAGTGCACTGGCACGACCATGGCTCACTGCAGCTTCAACCTCCTGGGCTCAAGTGATTCTCCTGCCTTAGCCTCCTAAGTAACTGGGACCAATGGTATGTGCCAGCTGTCCTGGCTAATTTTTAAATTTTTTCTAGGGATGAGGTCTCACTATGTTGCCCAGGCTAGTCTTCCAACTCCTGGGCTCAAGTGATCTTCCTGCCTCAGCCTCCCAAAATGCTGGAATTACAGGCGTGAGCCACTACACCGTGCCCATAACTTGACTTTTTAATTTGTTGTTTAAATCCTCTAAGTTTCTTCAACCATTTTAATCTTAAAATGACTCCTCCTTTTCTGCTATTTATTTTCTGTTTTCCATATAATATCTAATTTAGCTATTTAAGTTTCAAGTTCCTTGAGGAACTCTGACTTTGTATAACTCAGTACTAAGATAAACAGTTGGTAAATGATGCAAAAAATGTCCACAAAAATTCCTTTAAGGAATTTCTTTAACAGTGAATTTCTTTGACAGTACATAAATGTTATGTACACAGAATGGGATAAAGGAAGAGGTGAAAAATTAGAGCACAGAGTAATCCGGGAAGAAAGAAACGAGAGCATGGACTATGGTGTTGGCAAGGAAGATGATTAAAGGTAAAATTTGCCAGGATATACCTTTTATATATATATATACACCTATAGTCTAGTGTTCTATTTATCAGAGCTCATTTTTACATGCTTCTACTTACAGCTACTCTATTACAATCAATGTTTATAATGCTGACCATTAAGCAATACTAAACAAAATTAAAACATTAAAATATTTTTAGCATCTAATATAGGTTTATATATTTTATATTTATCTACTGTTATATAGTAGCAATATATATGTGTGTGTAGCACACACATATGAGGTCTACACAATAACTATTCACATAAATATCTGATTTAAAAAAAAACAAAACTTAATTTCAAGACCATTCCAAACAACAGAGCATTCTCAACCATTGGTAATGTGACTGGATAAAAACATGTTTGCTACCTGGTTGTAGTTTCTGAGGCCTGGCTGTCTGTGCACCACAGGGTTTGCACTTCCTTAGACTGAAATGGCAGCTTATCCATGACAACAACCAGAAGAAGACATTGTGGAAACTGTAGTTCACATGGCAGGTCTTACATGTAATAAAAACACATTAATTCAGCAGAAACCTGATTAATACATAAAGGAATTTTTTTTTTTTTTTTTTTCCCCAGACAGAGTCTTACTCTGTCACCCAGCCTGGAGTACAGTGGTGTGATCTCAGCTCACTGCAACCTCTACCTTCTGGGTTCAAGCGATTCTCCTGCCTCAGCCTCCCAAGTAGCTGGGACTATAGGTACACGCCACCACACCCAACTAATTTTTGTACTTTTAGTAGAGATGGGGTTGCACCATATTGGTCAGGCTGGTCTTGAACTCCTGACCTCAGGTGATCTCCCCGCCTCGGTCACCCAAAGTGCTGGGATTACAGGCATGATTCACTGTGCCCAGCCAGGTATAATTTTTAAATAAGAAATATGTTTCAAGAAAAGAAACTAAAAGAAACTTAATAAAAATTTCTTAATTGTAAAAAAGAATGGTTAGGGGAAATCACTGTCTCTAACATGTCATAATAGATGATTTACCATTAAATCTGTTTTGAAGCTTACCTAATCTACTATCTAAAACCACCTGCACAAAAGGTTGAAATGTGAGCAGCTGACTGATAAGTGGATCCAGTGTCACTAGGAAAGCACCTGCTATTTCCTCTTGGTGTGCTTTAGAAATCCTGGTAGCATAAAGGCTTGGAGGAAACTTGCTGGAAAGGGAGAGAAAAAAACTCATTAATAGCTATCTTATAATTTTAGGTAGAGTAAGTACTATAAACTGATGTTCTAGTAGTAAAAATATATTAAAAACTAAATTTTTAAAAATAAGTGTGCATTTTATAAAACAAAATTCCAAGTACTGAATTGATACCAGAATTGGATCAAGATCTCTAAACTAAACATAGCTATAATTCTATAAAATGAGAAGCTGATAATCTTAGAGAAATCTTTGTTGCTTTGAGACACTGATACCATTTTGACAATGATATCCTTAAAAATACTACAAAAATCTATCGTAAATCAGAAGTGAAAATACATATTGAAAAGATTATTTCTGATAAATTCTAGCTTATTTCTATTAAAAGTTGTTTTTAGGTGGAGCGTGTGGTGGCTCACGCCTGTCAAATCCCAGCACTTTGGGAGGCTGAGGCGTGTGGATTGCCTGAGGTCAGGAGTTCAAGACCAGTCTCGCCAACATGGTGAAACCCCGTCTCTACTAAAAAATACAAAAATTAACGGGGTGTGGTGGTGCACTCCTGTAATCCCAGCTACTCGGGAGGCTGAGGCACGAGAATCGCTTGAAACTGGAAGGCAGAGATTGCCGTGAGCCAAGACGGCGCCACTGCACTCCAGCCTGGGCGGGAGAGTGAACTCTGTCTCAAAAAAAAAAAACCAACCAACCAACTAAACAAACAAACAAACAAAATGCCGGGCATGGTGACTCACACCTGTAATTCCAGCACTTTGGGAGGCCAAGATTGCGCCACTGCACTCCAGCCTAGGCAACAAGAGCGAAACTCCGTCTCAAAAAAAAAAAAAAAAAAAAAAAAAGTTGTTTTTAAATAGACAGAACGCTGAATTTACTATGAATTAAAACTCAATTTCTCAGAAGCAAGAGCTTTACAAGAAATAAACCATATACTAACACTGAAGAAGAATGGAAATACTATTTCATGAAAATGTCTCAGTAACTGGGTTTTAAACTAAAGTTCAATCAAAACTTATGTGAACTAAGATATGTATTCTATATTTTTTGCCACATTAATTGTATACTTGACAATACATGAGAAAACTCTGTCTAGCAGAGGATAACAGCATTTTAAAGTATGCACTTAAGATAAACACTTGAGGTTTTTGTAGAGTGATAGAAAAAGCACCAATCTGTCAATTAGTTACATGACTTTGGTTCATTCATTTGCCCTTCCTGAGACTCAGTTTTGTCATTTGTGACATTGATTCTGAGTTATTGTGAGGATTAATTATAAGCAAATAAAAGACATATACAAATAAAACATAATAATGAAATTCCAGACTTGAATTACATCTACTGAGCATCATTGCAAGAATTTATTTTTTCAATCAAATATTTTTAAATTAATTTGATAAATGTTTACTAAGTGCCTATGTATACATGCCATGCACTGTTCCACAAGTGGGTGATACAGTAATAAAGAGAATATACAAAGTCACTGTCTTTATAGAGTTTACAATTCTAATGAAAGGGGACAGTTAACAGACAAGTGTACAAGTAAAAACATAATATAGCAGAGGTTAATTCAGTGCCGCAGAGAAAAAAAATAAAACAAGGAAAGACAAGAAGTTCTATTGATGAAAGTCATCTGAGGGTTGAGCAAAGAAGTCACATCATCTGATTTGTGTTTTTTATCACTCATTTTGGCTATTGTGTGGAGAACAAAGTAGCGTGAGGCAAAGACATAAACTTTTTTGCAAAATCCAGGCAAGAAAATAATAGTGGGTCAGATCAGATGGTAGCAGTTCAGGTGATGAGAAGTGCATGTACATGCACGTGCGTGCATGCGTGTGTACACCGAAGGTAACAATGACAGAAAATGCTAAAGGGGCAAGGTTTTTTGGCCTGATCAATTTGAAGAACAAAGTTGCCACTTAAACTGAAATAAAGAGGTTACAAAAGGAGCAGATTTTATTGGGTATGAGGATGACATGGGTGGAAATCAAGAGTTCAGTTTGGGACAATTTAGTATAGATGTCCTGATTAGTAGTTAGACATTAAAGGAGATATAAATTTAAAGTCTTGAGACTAAATGATAATAGACAGATAACAGGCTTGAGGAGTAAGTGCTGGGACACACTTAACTTAGAAGAGAAACCTCCTAGGGAAGCTGCGAAGGAGCAGATAGTAAGACTGGAACCAAGAGAACTAAGAGTGAGACATATCCTAGAAACCAAAAGAACAAAGTGTTCATAAAAGAGGATCAAGTGCTACTGACAGGTTACAGAAGGACTATAATTGACTAGTGGATGCAGTAATGTGGTGGTCACTCATGACCTTAACAAGAACTATTTTGATGAAGTGTTGGTGCAGAAAGCCTGACTGGACTAGATTCAAGAAAGAGTTGAGACAGGGGTATAGACAACTCTTTCTAGAAATTTTGCTGTAAAGAAAGGCAGAGAAACGAGAGGGTATTTGTAGGAGGATGTAGAGTCAAGAGATTTTGTTTTGTATTGTTAAGATGGGAAAAATAACAGCATATTTGTATACTCATGAGAGTGACCCAGTATGGAGGAAAGGCTGATGATGCAAGAGGGAAAGGGAATAATTGCTGGTGCAAGGTCACTGAGCCTGTGAGAGAGAATGAAATCCAATGCACAATGGAGAGGCTAGTCTTAGGGGCACAGTTCACTCATGGTAGTGAGGGAATGAATATATGGGTCTAGATACACATAGAATAGTAGATGTGTTAAGGAAACATACAGCAGCTCTCTTTTAATTGCTTCCATTTTTCCTCAGTGACACAGGAAGTGAGGTCATTGACAATGAGGAATTGGGAAGATGCTGGAGATACAGGAAGTTCGAGGAAGGAAAGGTGTGAAAAAGTTGTCTGGGATGCTAAATGAATTATGAAGCTGCAACAGGACTGATGGATAAATGAACTCACTTTGTGTCAAATTTAGGGCTCTTTGGAGGTAACCATCAATTTTAGAAGTCGCTTAGCCCCCATCTAAATTTTGATACCTTTCTGTAATTCACTTTCTTTTCTGAGATGGTTTCAGAAAAAAGACCGTCCTGTAAAGTGAATTACAGAAAGGTATCAAAATTTAAATTTAAATGGGGGCTGACTTAAACTTCATAGAAACAAAATAAAAATAAAGATTAAAAAATGCCAATATTAAAATATAAAGGCATATATAAAGTATACGTATATTTGTGTATACATATTTATATTTGCCATTGGATTTTATCACCCTACTAATTATCACTCCTGTATAAGGTACTAGTAAAATACAAAGATAAGCATAACTCCTGTGGAATGTATCTTTCAAAAGCCTCTATCTCCAATTATTTCAAGCTAGCAGATAAAAATTACTAAAACATTAAGAAAAATTTTTGTTTTATTGTAAAACGGTAGGTACTCAAGCACTGCATGGCACAGATGGCATTGTTATATCTTAATAATCATGGCATTCTTCTTACCTGTGTATCTGAAGATACAGCTGGTGCAAATTACAGCAAGAATCAGAGAGGAAAGGAAGAAATTCCTAAAATAAAACAACTCTATTCATTCTTTGCATAAAATGTGTCTTTTTAGTACATATAATCTCACAAAGGAATGCAAAATAAAATAAAATCCTGAATGTGCCTCCTTTTAAAAAAAAATTATTTTTCTTTTTTTTTTTTTACTTCCGTCTCTTGAGGCGTAGTTTCCACTCTGTGTGCCCAGGCCTACAGTACAATGGTGTGAAGTTCAGCTCACTCCAACCGTCCCCTCCCAGATCAAGCCGATTCTCCAACCTCAGCCTCCCCCAGGTAGCTGATTAACAGGCGTGCATCACGACCACCGTGGCTAATTTGATTTTAGTAACGGAAAGGGTTTCCACCCATGTTGTCACAGGTTGGTCCTTTAAACTCCTGACCTCCAGGGTCATCCACCCGCCCTTGGCCCCAAAAGGCTGGGATTACAGGCAGAGCCACTACACTTTAAATAAACTGTGTCCATAATTTTAAAGAGCCATGCATGTTGAGAGTCATCAGAATAGTAGTGGTAACTGTAAAAGAGAAAAATTGTCCGACGCGGGCCACAGTGCTCAACCCTGTAAATGCCGCATTTTGGGAGGCCAAGGTGGGCAGAGCCACTCTGAGGTCAGAGTTCGAGACCAGCCCTGGACCAATATGGTGAAATCCCATGCTCCTACCCAAAATACAAAAAACTAGCCCAGGTGTGTGGCAGGCGCCTGTAGTCCTCAGCTCCTCCGAAGCTGAGCAGGAGAGTCGCTTGAAACCTGGGAGCGCAGAGGTTGCAGTGAAGCCCGAGATCATGCCATCACAACTCCAAGGCCTGGGCCAACAGAGCGGAGACTCCGTCCTCCAAAAATAAAACAAACAGAAAAGTTGTCAGCAGATTATTTGCAAAATGAGCCGGAATGCTTTACAGTAGTCCAGTGAACAAAACAATTATTAGTAAGGTGGTTAGTGGTTTTTAAAAAAACTACTGTCCCAT